ATCATGCTCTAGTTAATTAATGGGACACATCACTGAATTTTTAACGGAAGGACTAAATTAGAATCAAAATGATAAACAGTAAAGATCAAATCAAAAATTTTTTAAATTTAGGGACTAAGTCGAAGGTTCATATAATAATTAAGGGATTAAAATGAGCATCTAACCTTTTTTGTTTCTAGGAATTATCTCATCATTATTGTCTTCGAAATTTGTACTCCTTCATATTGTACTGAAAAATCACGTACACGTAAGACGGAGGAGAAAAAAAAATGCCATGTATAAAACGAGATTTGACGTTATTATATTAATCATTTCTTTCCGTAATCATCAAGGCCAAAAGTTAGATTTTGGTTGGCACAACGTTAGCATCTTGATTAATTATGATTTGTGTACTTTTTCCTCTCTTTTGATTTTTTTAAAAAAAATTAAGAGACATTTTTTATGATATAATTTTTTATGTAATTTTATTTATTATTTTAATTACTAATTTTTTATTTTATTAAGATTTATAATATTATATATGTTTATTTATTAACCTGTAAAAATTATAAATAGAACTAATATAATTAAATTATCTGTATATTATAATTACTTTTAATTTTAAATTATATCTTAAAAAATAATTTTTTAATTCATTTTACATCTTATATAATTTAAATTCATAATTTTTTATTTTTTAAAAAAATAAAAAATATATTTTATAATTCAGACGATAGAGCTATGCACCCTTATTAGGTTATTGAGCATGTTATGTTTACTTTAACAAAGGTTGATTTTGTCATCTAAACTGGTTCAATCTTTCTATTTTATTTTATTTTTTATTTTGATTGTATAATAAGATGTAATTATCTTTTATTTTTTTATCTCTTCTCACCCGTACATCATGCAATTCAAACTCAAAAATTTTTATTTTCAGCTGAAAAAAATGATCACTGAGTTATTTAAGTTGTTGGTCTTTTTTTTTTTTATTAACAAAGAAACATTTTTCAGTTTAAGTGGAATGAAAAAAATATTTAGATGATCAATATTATATATATTTTGTTTGGTCATATACGAAACTTAATTTGAATATTACGGATAATATAAAATATTAAGATATCTACGGCGGTATTGACAATTTCAAGCTACACTGAATCTTCTTTTCTACAGTAAGCCGGCTTGAATACTAAGTCCACAACCATTGTAACTTAATTAGTCAATCTCAATAATCCACTTCCAGAAGGAAACTTTATCCAATTCTCCACGAGTAAGGCTCTAATTTGGTTTAGCTTTAGCACCTAAAATACAAACTTAAATAACTTTATTTCACTTTGTTTTTAATGGCATATCAACCAAACTGGCCAAAAAGAGAAATGGCTTCCAACTGAATTATGATTAGAAGATAGACATTATCAACCTTGTGAAGATAAACAGAAAATAACAATAGCTTAAGCAGCAGATAGAGCTTAAACAGATGCCATCTCCATTACAAGGTTACTAAGTGAAGATAAAACTTAGGTAGAAGATAGAGCTTAAACAGATGGCATCTCCATTACAAGGTTCAACATTGAAGATAAAGATTAAACAGATACCATCTCCATTACAAACGTTAGGAAGGGAAGATAAAGGTTAAGCATGATATAGAGATTAAACAGATGCCATCTCCATTGCAAGGTTAGAGTATGTTTGATTAACTTCTTATAATTTCAGTTTTTTGATACTATTCATATTTTATAAATTAAAATTTTTCTTTTGAAAATTTACATTTTTAAGTTTTTTTTAAACTTTAAAAAGACCTTAAACAATAAAAACTCAAAAGTTTTAAACTTTTACTTTTCATAAATTTCTTTTTTGCTTACTTTTTAACTTTTTTTCTATCTTTAAAAGCAATTTTTAAATTTTTCCTCCAATAAAAATTTAAACTTATCACTCATAAACAATACTAAAAAGGCAAAAGCTCCAAGAAATTAAACCAAACAAGCCCTTAATAGGAGAAGATAAAGCTTAAGCAGAAGATAAAGCTTAAGCAGAAGATAAAGCTTAAGCAGAAGATAAAGCTTAAAAAGATGCCATCTCCATTACAAGGTTCACCATTGAAGATAAAGATTAAACAGATACCGTCTCCATCAGCCGGTTAAGCAGTTGACAATAAAGTTTGGAGGCTCCTCCACTATAACTACCACATACACTACCATAGTTTAAACCCTGTACAACTGTATGCTAGTCTAAAACCACCTTTGGTACCATTCCGGATCTTGTGAAGTGTAAAAGGTAGTGCGAGCAGTATAGGGTTGTTTGCCAGTACTCCTTATGGTGAAATTAATGTCAATCACAAATGAATCTCCCTCAACGTTTTCAAAAATTGCCTCAACTAGCAGCTTCTCCGCAAGCTTGGCATCCTAAATGAATAATAGAATCCAAGCAAGAGCACATAAGTAATCAAGCATAAAAAAATTGTTTGGTCTAAAATAATCATAACATTTCAGTGGGATACAGGAACCTGGGACCTCCATAGATCTCAGCCATGAAAAAATATAACTTCTTTTAAATAGATGCACAAAGACGAATGATGCTGAG